GAAATTGAAAAGTCCTTTTTCCCAGACTAGGTGACCTTTATGTTTTTGGAGTCGCTTATCACCATCCCGGAGTTCATATGACCCCATCACGTCTAGATCAAGGTCAAATGAAGGTTAAACACATAAACTCGAATGATACCATATTTTTGATCCCGGATTCTGAAAGAGCTGAAACCTTTACGTCCAAATACGCTTCGACCTTCTAGAGGTCAAACCTTTGTTTTGATCTCTCGGCTGATAACTAGGAATGGATCTCGAACCAGTTGACCCTTATGTTTTTGGGGTCCCTGATCACGATCCCGGTATCCATATCCATATGACCCCATCACGTCTAGATCAAGGTCAAATGAGGTCAAATCCTTCCTTGATCTAGACTTTATGGGGTCATATGGACACTGGAATCGTGATCAGCGACCCCAAAAACATAAAGCTCAACTGGTTCGAGTTTCCATTCCTAGCTAAGATAGCCGAGAGATCAAAAGAAAGATTTGACCTTTAGATGACCTGCAAATAACCTTCAGAAGTCGGTTCGACCAACAAGTCTAAGCGTATTCGTACTTAAAATTTTTCGCTCTTTCAGAATCCGGTGTCAAAAAAATTATATCAATAGAATTTATGTGTTTGACCTTCATTTGACCTTGAATTAGACTTGGTGGGGTCATATGGACACCGGGATGGTGATCAGCAACCCCCAAAACATGAAGGTCACCTAGTCTGGGAAAAAGGACTTTTCGATTTCTGTTTCTTCATATCCATCCTCGGCTCGAATGGGAGCCTCACATCGGCGAACTAAAGATTCCGTCACTCGACGGATGAGATTTCATTTCTTATCTGGTTAGCTACATCCTAAATTCTTTCAAGTAACTGCTGACGGGTAGTGAGTAGTGGTGGACAAGCTGCTTCATATATCCCTATAAATAAAAGTCCAAAGGATTTAGATCTGGGGAACGCGGTGGCCATGCTGTTAAACCTTGTCGACCTATCCATTTATTCGGGAAATGATCATTTAACCAATCATTTACTTGTCTCCCTCCATGTGGTGGTGCACCATCGTACTGATACCTCATATTTGGAAAAATATTAAGCCCTACGTATCAATGAAATCAAAAAAGTTATTTTGCAAGAAAGTTCTATACATATCTGCATTTAAACGATCATTTAACACATGTAGAACAGTAAATTATTGTTGAGAATGTTACCCCAAACGTTGACTCTGAAACGTTGCTGAAATCGTCTTGATCTAATTGTGTGCAGTTTTTGTAACGCCCAGATATGTTCATTATGGTTATTATTTATGCCGTCCCTAGTAAAACATGCTTCATCAGATCACATAACAATCGAAATGAATCTATCTTTTTGTGACAGCTACCATCTGTCAAAGTTTGTCACAGAGCTTGTAGAACACCCTGTATTGAAAGAAGCCCATCGCTTGTACCTTGAGGAACACCTATTAAAACGTTCGTTTTTCGTTCGCACTTATTTGCCTCCCTTCTTCCATCTTTAAAAATTAACAACATATAATTTTAGGCTCCATTCAGCAAGACCTAACGTAAAATTAGAAAACCTGGAACCAAACGTGATACTCACTGAAGGACATAAAGCCAGTCCTAGCAGCTGCACCCTTTGCGGAAAAATATTTAAATACCCCACAAGCCTCGACAAACACCTCAAGTCCCACGAACAAGAGCGACCTTTCTCATGCGTCTTATGCGAAAAGAAGTTCAAAAAGAAATACCAACTAGCAGCTCATGTCAAAGTCCACGATGACTCTTTATCTTTCGAGTGCGACTTTTGCTCAAAAAAACTGCGTTCCAAGGGTTCCTTGGCAACTCACAGAAAGATACACTTGAAAGACTACGTGGCCAAGTGCGAAATCTGCTGCCAAGGATTCTTCACCAGTCAGCAGTACAACAACCACATGGGCGCCAAACATAGTACAAGTAGCTACATTTGTAACGTCTGCAGTAGGTCCTGCTACGACAAGGCTGCTTTACAGGGCCACATGGCGCGCCACGCTGAAGACTACGGCACCAACAAAAACATCCGCTGCGAGCTGTGCGGCAAGACTTTCTTACAGGAGAGATACCTCAAGCACCACCACGTGAGGATGCACAAAAACGGAGGTCAGAGGTTCATTTGCGACCATTGTGGAAAAAAGATTGGTTCTAAAACTAGCCTGCGAGATCACTTGCTGATCCACCAAGGTCTGAAACCGATAGAATGCAAGGAGTGTGGAAGGTGTTTTGCCTTGAGGACTACCCTGAAGCTTCATATGAGGACTCACACTGGAGAGAGACCCTACTGTTGTAAGGAATGCGGGAAACGGTTCACTCAGAAAGGCCCTTTGAACACGCACATGCTCTACCACACTGGAGAGAGACCCTACAAGTGCGAAATTTGCTCCATGATGTTCGTGACCAAGACACTGCTGATGGGTCACAGTAAAAAGCATCACCAAGCAGTGTAATTTACAATTGGAAATTGATGATATTGATTGTCTGCTTAGTTTCTTTGAATAATCTTACCAGTTTCTCTAGATTTCTACAGATAGTCTCGATTTAGGAACTACTAAATGAAATTAAATTACCTGGGCACAGGTATTAGGCCTTAAAATTAAAAAAAAAAATGGTGAAGACAAAGTCTTCAGGAATTCTCTTGTGGTCTCAAATAAATACATAAAAAACAACTGAATGTTGGAAAAATATATACATTGATTTCATGGCAATCTTGATTATTCGTTGTGCAACATCAGCAAATAAACCAAAATAAACTCAAACGGAAAATTCAATTGGTTCTCTACGTATTTCTTTGAAAAAAGGCTGAAATGCCTGAAAGAGGTCTCAACAATTACAAGATATTTTATTTTCTTAATAAAAAACCTTCTTATCTTTTTTTAATAGTATCTCGCTTATTGTTAGAGATGGACCCAATAAACCCTATATGATAGTTCTATCCAAATATGTAAAAATATACAGGATGTTCCATTTAAATTAACAAAGTTAACATCCGCGACCACTTTGTTTGGACTTCATTTCTTTTTTACCATCATTTTCGAATAATTCATAAAAAATCGTAACATTTGTATTTCACATTTTTTTTATAACTCGAAAAATAAAAAGGTTAATGGGGGTCAAAATATAGTGAATCGCCCTGTAGATGTAAAGAGGTTCATAAATAAAAACCGTCTAATATTGTAGGTCTTCTATATTTGTCGATTTAGTAATGTTTTATTAATACTATTATTACTTTCGAAAAGTAGGTAAAAAAAAATTATAATTCGAACACGTTGTAAATACTTTTAATGATGATAGTAAACATGAAACGATATTTGTACATTGTTCGTGTATTTATCTTAATTCAGGCTTATCTGAATATGTAAGAAAATTACATATAGGGTGTTATTTTGTTGGGCTTCCACCCCCTTGATCATCCCGTAACTTTTTTATTTAAAATCTTTTAAATCGGTTATCTAAATTTTTTTATCTAATTGAAATTTTGATGCCAATTACGGATTTCGGGCCACCGTGTATAATTTAAAATAATTTTAAAATGTAAAAAAAAAAATTGAATGGGTGCAACTTTTACTTGAAAAACTCTTTTTTTATTGATATTGCTAAAGTTGTAAAAAAATCCATCTTAAATGAGACACCCTGTATAAAACAGTTTCGAGATACCACATTGAGAAGGTTATATCTCAGTAGGTGTTGACTTTTGTATATATCTAGGAAAATTGGTATTAACTTTGCATAAATTTTGAACCAGGGAATATTTGATCTTACATTGCATACTTATTTTCCGGACGCCTTATATAGCACAAATGATGTCGAAAATAATAGTAGAATCTAGCGAAAGAAGAATAGAAGAATTTAATTCACCAATAAATGATTATGATGGGAGGAAGATACTTGATCAAAATAAAATTCAGCTTTTACTTTAAGAAATTTTATTTAGTGTTACAAAATCAACGAATTAGGTAAGCATACTGCGTTGTCTTCTAGTTATTTTTTAGAAAGAAATTATAACCATTGTTCTATGTTCCACTATTCAACAGAAGGAAGATTTTTTTATGAAATTAATCTTTTCACATTTACACATTCTCAGTGACCTTTTCAGTCACCCGAAGTTTCTAATTTTTCTGTTTCAGAATCATGACAGCTCCATGACAAAAAAAATTAATGTAATGCACTAGACCACCATCATACCTTCTTAGGTTGGTGTCTCTAGGTCAGGATAGCCGAAATATCGGGAAAATAACCATAACAAAAGATTTTTGGATTGTCGGGTACCACCGCATGGTGACCTTGACTTGACCTTGAAGGTCATTTTGGCAAAAGTCATTTCAAGCGGCTCTAAGGCAGTGAGATAATGATTCTTGTATCCATGAGACCTGGTTTTCATGATTTTGGTGGCATAAAAATGGCAACGAGAGACTTCTTATTCGAGAATTTGGTCTTACATACTCTCAGCTTGTGACTTTAGCTTAATTGGTTTCCCATTGAGGATATTTCAAATCCTACTACCTCAGAATATGCTGGAGATGATGATACTTTCCCGAAAGAGGATTTGTGACATGATCTATTCTACGATATTCAGAGGTACCTTTAAAAAACAACCTTGAAATAACCATGAACATAGCCTTCAAAGTCAAATTCAAAATGGTGTTGCCCGATGGTCCAAAAACTTTGAGGGGTAATTTTCCAAATATCTCGCTATCCTAATAAGATACCAACCTGAGAAGTTTGAGGGGGGAATTTGCCTTTCAAATGATCTTGATCGCGCTCTTTCGGAATCGAGGGACAAAAATTGTATTACCATCAACGGACAAGAGTTGACCCTCAAGTAACTTTGAAAATGTGCTAACTTCGTCCAACGGACACCGGATTCGGATTCGGCTATTGGAGTTTTTTTCCCATGGAGCTGTGTTATCTAAAATTAAAAATCAAAATTTTCTTCTGTACTCTGGTTACGATTCCAAAGAAATTAACGTCGCATAATTTTAGGTCGAAGAAGAAAAAGAGGAGAGCAAAATCCACGATAAAATACAACAGTGTCAAACACGAAGGGAAGACGTCCAAACCGTTAAAAGTCTGCACCGTCTGCGGGAAGACCTTCACGGACATAAGACGACTGAAAAGACACTTTGTCTCCCACAGTGACGAGCGACCCTTCTCCTGCAACCTGTGCACCAGGAAATTTAAGATGAAATTCCAACTAGTAGCGCACCTGCGCGTGCACGACGAGAACATGTCCTTCGAGTGCGACTTTTGTTCGAAAAAGCTACGATCCAAGGGCTCTTTGATCGTTCACCGGCGAAGACACATGAAAGAGTACGTGGCCAAGTGCGAGGTCTGCGGACAGGGCTTCGTCACCAACCAGGAGTACAGCAACCACATGGGCTCCAAGCACGGCATCAGCAAGCACATCTGCGACTTCTGCGGACGGGGTTGCTACGACAAGTCCGCCCTCCAGAGTCACATGGCCCGCCACGCGGAAGACTACGAAACCAATAAGAACATACGGTGCAAGCTGTGCGACAAGACTTTCCTCCAGGAAAGGTACCTGAAGCACCACTTCCTGCGGATGCACAAGAACGGGGGACAGAGGTTCGTGTGCGATCACTGCGGCAAAGAGGTGAACTCCAAGAGGAGCCTGCGCGATCACCTGCTGATCCACCAAGGGCTCAAGCCTATTCAGTGCAAGGAGTGCGGTAGGTGTTTCGCCTTGAGAACCACCCTGAAACTTCATATGAGGACACACACGGGGGACAGGCCGTACGAATGTAGTCAGTGCGGCAAGTGCTTCACGCAGAAGTCACCGCTCACGGTACACATGAGGTATCACACGGGGGAGAGGCCTTACGTATGCAGCGTGTGTCATAACGGGTTCGTCAGCAAGGGGGCGCTGTCTATACACCAGAAGAAACATAGATCGGTGTAAAATTTGTATTTAATAAATAACTTTTTTATTTATTGATGTTTTTGCTGTCCCAACATCCTGTGAGTATGATAAAAAAGAAGCTGTGAATTAACAACATTAACAAGAGGGTACTTGTAACACCATTATTCCCAAACAAAGCTTTTGGGAACACATATTTTTGTGTAGAATCCACATTTAAAAGTAGGCTAAACGTTTTAACGGTAATGTAATGGTACACAGCTTAATGGCAGATTGTTAACGTCAAAATATAGTGATTGAGCCAAACTTACCTTAATCAATTGTTGCTCCGTTTCGTTCTACAAGGTGTTACCTATATTTGAAAAAATATTTTCGATTTTTTGTTATATTTTATGTATGGATTGATTGTTTTGAAAAAAATATTTTTTCCCAAGGCATTGACATAAAAATTGACAGTACGTTATAACCCAGAAGTAAGAGAATATCTTAATAGAAATTTCCCGCACCATTGGATTGGATGTGGTAGCGAAGTACCTTTTCCTGCACGTAGCCCTGATTTAAATCCGCTGGGTTTTTCTTTAAATTTCTAGTTTACAAAGACATTATTAAAAGTCAAGAACAACTGTGGACAAATATTCAAGAATCTGTTCATATTATCAAACATAGAACTTTATTTAATATCCATCAAAATTTAAATAAGTGCATAGAAGTCGCTGGTGGTTGCTTTGACAATCTTTTATGATTAATAATTTGTTAAGATATGCATAAAAAAAATTCAGTTTTTGTAATGTTTGTTTTAATTCTTGTTGCTCTAGTTAAAAAATTCAAAATTGTAAAATACAAAAAGTTAGTCATATTTTTACATAACTAGCGCCTCCTTGACATGATCACAACACTGTTTGCATATTCGTATTTGACACCTCAAAAAATGCTACATTACAAATTTTCAAAACTATCGGTCCATACCCTATTGAAAATATAGCAAAAAAATTGAAAAAAAATTTTCAACTTTAACCCTGTAGAACGAAAAGGAGCAACAATTGACAATTGACATGTTTGGCTCAACCGCTATATTTCGATGTTAACAATCTGCCATTAAGCTGTGTACCATTATTAATGACTCACCCTGTATATTTAAGCTAATATATCAACAACAATAAAAAAATATTATTTCATGTCTAATAAAACTTGTCATCAACTATGGCCCTACAGGTGGACTGTATTGGACTATTGGACATAATTGGACTAGTTGGGAGTTAAAGAGTGTACTTCAATAGACGCACACCGAATTGAATAATAAGATAGTTTATTGTACTTTGCAACGCTCACCTGCGAGTCAAATCATGATCAAGTGAACTCTATTTTCCACTTGATCATGAAATTTGAATTCATATATTTTAATCAAAAGTAGTTATTGATAACAATCGCGCAAATGCGGCCTGCCTAATAATAATATGCCGCCTCCTCTCCCGCACAAGTCTCCGACTTATGGGCTAATTCTCGTAGTTAGAATGAGGAGTACAATTTTATTATTATTATTATTATAATCATACCCTAAAACCGTTTTTCAAAATTTTCATTTTAAAACAATTTTGTGCAATAAACATTTTCGGGACAAAATTAAAAATTAATTGTGTAAAAGCCATTAGAGACATCTTAATAAAATTTTCAGGACTTAATGTGCAATATTGACATTTTAATAACAAATTTAAAAAATAAGTTAATTTATTTATTATCATATTTTTAATTAATTTTTAAATAAACAAATGAAAATTTTAATGACCTCAGTCAGATAATAAAGTTTTTTTTTGTTACATCCGTCATACATTTAAGATCAATATTCCGCAAGAAAATTTGAGTGCCCAGTATTAATTTAAACAATATAAATTTCTATATCACAGAGCGACAAGCGATGTCTGTATAAAGCGCCCAGCTGCCCAGTTAACTTGACTTGACCTCCAGTCAACCGACATTAAAAAAACCTTTTTTATAATTAAACATAATTTTGTTAACTTTAACTTTTTTGATAATAATTTTATCATCTTCTGAGAAAAAAAAAACAACCTATAAAACATCTACAAAACTTTTTTATAATTTTTCAAGAATGATAGAATGATGATGAAAGATATCAATTTTGCCATGAAATTTTATAAAAATAAGTTTTCTCTATCTCTTAAAATAAAAAAGTTAGACGGCCCTAAACTTTCGGTACTTTTCCGGTTTTTTATGATTATTCACAAAGTTGGCCATGGATACCATATTTGTTTTTATGAGCATAAAGGCCTCAAAAATTGCAACAAAAAACATACAAAGATTTTGGATCTGCATCGTTTATTAAGCGAGATACATAGGAGTGGCCCTCTTATAGTAGACAGCCTGTATAATTTCGTAAAAAAGTTTCATTGCTTTTAGGTAGAAATAAAAAAATGTACTACATGAAGGTACATAGTAAGTAATAATAAAAATTCATATGAACATAAACGCTAAGTATTGTTTGTTTTTCAGTAATTTTCATTTATTTTACAAGTTTTTTAAAGACAGTTCGATGCAATCAACACTTGAAAAGTATCAGAACGAACGAATTGCCATTCGAAATAATGTAATGAGGGTTTCTGGCCCCTTCGATTTTTTTACTGCAACGACTGCTTGAAAAAAGAGTAGGTACTTCTCTATTCCATTCTTCAACTTTTTTTTGTTTGATGCATTTTTTGGATCTTTACTAGGAAATCTCGTGGCCGAACTGGTCAGCGAATAGAAACATTGTGCCAGAAGACGTGTATACAAATTAAAATAACAAACAGTAAAATATGCAGGGTGTTTGGTAAGTCGATGCATTCTTTGCAGGAGGTTATAGTACAAGTGATTTGTGACATATTTCCGTAATATACCATATTCCGCCACGCTTCTACAGGGTGTTAATGTTTTAATAAAAAAAACAAATATATAAATACTGCGGAAACCCCTCAGAATATTTTAATGAAATTTTACAGGTTTTGACAGTTAACAACAATACATGTTTTACGATAAAAATATTGTTTTCAGTTTCACCAGTGGTGTGCGCCCTGTGCATGTCTCTAGATATTGTTAAAGAAAAAAATGGTATACCACTGATTTTTCTTAAAATAAAAATTATTTTTGAATTCCTTGTTCAATTTGGAAGAGACTGTTTTTCTTATGACGCATCGTTTTCGAGAAAAATAAAATAAAATCGATTTATTGCATGACGTAATTCGGTTTCAATAATTTGAAAAATAGCAGAAATTTTATATACTTAACTGCTTCACACTCAAACACTCAAAGTGACAGCTATTATTATTTTTTTCAAACAATAACAAAAAGAAGTGCACAGCCAACTTGCTAATTTCTGTTTAGATAGTGAATAGTTAATCTAAAAATTGATAAAAATTTTTTAGACTGATTGTTAACTGCGAGGAATAATAATTTTTTGTAATAAAATTGGTACAAAAAAAAAAGCTGAATGCAGAATTTCTGCTATTTTTCAAATTATTGAAACCGGATTGCGCCATGCAATAAATCGATTTTCGTTTTTTTACTCGAAAACGGTGCGTCATAAGAAAAACCGTCGAGATACCTTTTCTCTTCCAAATTGAACAAGGAATTGAAAAATAATGTAATTTTAAGAAAAATCAGTGGCGTATCATTTTTTTCTTAAAAAATATCCAAAGATATGCCTGTGCGCACGCCACTGGTGAAACTACAAACAATATTTTTTATCGTAAAACGTGTATTGTTGTTAATTGTCAAAGCATGTAAAATTTCATTAAAATATTCTGAGCGGTTTCCGCAATATTTATAAATTTGCATTTTTTTATTAAAATTATTATATATTTATCACCCTGTAGATCATAAACTAAGCGTTTTCGGAATATGGTATATTAAGGAAATATATCACAAATCACTTGTACCATAACCTCCTGCAGGGAATGCATCGACTTACCAAAGACTCTGTATATTCAAGAATATGTCGTTATTTGTACACTAGGACTGTTATATTAATATTATTCGTTCTAAATTAAAATATATGTATATCATAGACCAGGCGGTATCTGTTTTAAAAAGGGTATACTTGGGTAAAACGCATATGATCGGAGATTTTTGCTTTGACGGCTTCTAAACAACATCAGAAATGATAATTTTTCTATGCAAATAAAAAAGAAATGTGGGCTTAATTTTTAATGCAAAAAAGTATAAAAAAATTGCAAAAAAATTCATTTTTTTCTTGGATTTCTCGGCGACAACTTAGCAACTATTCATTTTAGACAAAAATGGAAGAGGAAAAAAAGTTTTGTAATTAAATTTTGATCAAGATAGAATTAGTTGCAATTCGAAAAATTAATTATTGTTATTGCAAAAATCGGAAAAATCATTTAAAAAATTGCAAAAAATGCTAGTTTATTCGTCAATTTTTTTCAGACACTTGAATAATACCTAGGATCTTCATACTTTTCCCAATTAAACTTCTTAGTGTATAGAATCATCACACCAAATTTCATCCAATTCGGTTCGATAGTTTTTACATAATAATTGTTTAATTTTTTT